GGGGAGCCGAGCCTGATGATGTTACTGTCCTGGACGCAGCTCAAGGCCAGGTTTCTAACCCAGCCCAGCCCACTGTCCACAACAAAGGTCTTTCCCAGGGTTTGACCAGATATGCACTCCAGGCACAGAGATGGCATGACGGTGACTTTATTTGTTAACAGGCAGACCCCTCACCTAGGTCAGGACAAAATCATGACCAACAAGGATGGAGAGCAGGATGCTGGCTGAATCTCAGAGCCTGGAGGGAACCAGGAGCCAGCCCAGGCTGCTAACAGGAAATTCTGGGGCAGAAGGAGACCCCAGACTGGGCTCAAGGCTACAGAAGTTTCAGGTGAAAGTCAGCATTGGCCCTGGAAGGAGTTGGCGATGTGCCCGGTCAGCAACAGGGCTCCGGGGCCAAGGTTGGGAGGCAGCAAGCAGGGCGGGAGCATGCGGGCCGGCAGAGCAGGGACACAGAGGAGGCCGGGCAGCAGCAGCTGGGCTGGCAGGAGGAGGCGGGCACGCAGCAGGCGGGGCGGCACACAGGACGGCAGAGCAGGGACACGGAGGAGGAGGGTCTGCAACTGACCGAGGAGCAGGGGTTGGGCTGGCAGCACAAGGAGGCTGAGCAGGGGGAGGACTCACAGCAGACAGGCCTGCAGCAGACAGGCCTGCAGCAGACAGGTCTGCAGCAGACGGGCTCACAGCACACGGGCCTGCAGCAGACAGGTGTGCAACAGACAGACGTGCAGCAGACGGGCCTGCAGCAGACGTGCTCACAGCAGGCCTGCGGGCAGAGGGAGGAGGTGCAGCAGGAGGTTTGGCAGCAGGGGCTGGACTCGCAGCTCACTGGGGCACAGAGGAGGGTCAGGCTGGGGGCCGGGGCGCAGCAGCTGGGGGCACAGCAGGGGGGCTCGCAGCAGCTCTCTGGACAGTTGTAGCTCAGGTCGCTGGAGCAGACAGACAGGGTGGATGCGGCCATGGTGGAGGCGGTGGGGCTGGAGGAGGGTTTGAGTGTGTGTGAGTGTGTGAGCTGTGTGTGTGAGGTGCTTGGGGATGCAGGGCTTTTATACCTGCCCCCTGGCTTGTGTTGTCCCCACAGGAGACTCCCAGGCCCTCCCTTCCTTGTTGGGGTTGAGAGCTGGCTGCAGGAGCCCCTCATTAGTGCTGGCGTGGTTTCCACAATAGTTTTCACCCATTAAACCTGTGAGTATAAATATCCCATGTTGCAGCATGTTTTCCCATCTCTCCGTTGTTTGGCTCCAGAAAAGATATAGAAAATATCTGAGGTAAGATCCTAAAGGAAATGAACCCTGAATACTCATTGGAAGGATTGATGCTGAAGCTGAAGCTCCAATCCTTTGGCCACCTCATTCAAAGAGCTGACTCATTGAAAAAGACCCTGATGCTGGGAAAGATTAAAGCAGGAGGAGAAGGGGACAACAGCGGACAAGTTGATTAGATGGCAACACTGACTCAATGGACATGAGTTTGAGCAGGCTCTGGGAGTTGTTGAAGGACAGGGAAGCCTGTTGTGCTGTAGTCCATGGGGTCACAAAGAGTGGGACACGACTGAGCAACTGAACAAGAGGAACAATGCTGAGTGAGGTTTAGAGGTGAACATGCCTCTAAATTGGTGAATTTAGACGTCGCAGCTCTCCTCTGTTTGAGGCACAGTACTTTTAATGTTATTTTGACGTTTACACATTTTAAAATTTAGGTGTAATGTGACATGTGCTTGTCTGTAAAATTCAAGTGGGATGTGACCACATCCAGGGGATGTGACCGTGGAACCAGGTAAGGGTCATGTTCAGCAGGGGCTGCTGGGAGATCCTGGCACCCCACCTCCAGCAGGTGCTCTGTCAGTAGGAGGCATGGTGAATGGGGAATCCAGTCCCCTGCAGCCCAGCCAGTGTGCCTGAGAGGAGCGTTAATGGAGCGTGGTCATACGTGGCATCTGTTAGGAGATCTCTTCAGGGAGTAGCGCTCACAGGTGTCTGAGTCAGGGGCCACGTTCATCAACCTTTCACCCAAACCCAACTATTCACAGCACACCCTGTGCACCCCATACTCCTCAGCCGAGCAACCTGCCCCTCTGGCTGGAGTTTGTCTTCCTCAAAGGTGATGCCCAGAAAGACTCAGAGAGAGGGAGGGTCTCCTCCTGGAGACCCCACGTGTGAGCAGCAGAGACTCGAGGATGCGAGGCAACACCCAAAAGTAAAGCTCAGGCAAGAGTTGGTTTTCCTTGTGGATACAAGAAGATGTGGTCCCAGGGAGCCTGAAACACAAAGTCAGAAAGGGCTGACTCTGGGGAAGACAGTGACATCTGGGCAGTGGTCATCACGGTGGCCCTGACCACAGCTGTGGGGTCAGATGACACTGTCTGAGCACCTGTTCTAGGCCAGGTGGTGATCTGAACGCTCTACACCTGCCAAGTCACTTGATTTCACATCCACTCAGCAAGGAAGTTTCTGTAAATAGATGAGGAAGCCCAGGCACAGAGAACTTAAGGAACCATCTCCAGGTCACACAGCCCAAAGTATCAGGACTGGGACTGGAAGCCAGCCGTCTGTACATAGGATCGAGGCTCTTACCCAGGCATTCCCCCAAGCCAACTTCAGTGCTAGATACAGAAGGAAGCATGTGTCCNTTTCTCATGATGTACTCTGCATATAAGTTAAATAAGCATGGTGACAATATACAGCCTTGATGTACTCCTTTTCCTATTTGGAACCAGTCTGTTGTTCCACGTGCAGGTTTAACTGTTGCTTCCTGACCTGCATACAGCTTTTTCAAGGGGCAGGTCAGGTGGTCTGGTATTCCCATCTCTTTCAGAATTTTCCACAGTTTATTACGATCCACACAGTCGAAGGCTTTGGCATAGTCAATAAAGCAGAAATCGATGTTTTTCTGGAACTCTCTTGCTTTTTCGATGATCCAGCAGATGTTTGCAATTTGATCTCTGGTTCCTCTGCCTTTTCTAAAACCAGCTTGAACATCTGGTAGTTCACAGTTCACGTAGTGTTGAAGCCTGGCTCGGAGAATTTTGAGCATCACTCTGGTACAGTGTGTGAGATGAGTGCAATTGTGCAGTAGTTGGAGCATTCTTTGGGATTGCCTTTCTTAGGGACTGGAATGGAAACTGACCTTTTCCAGTCCTGTGGCCACTGCTGAGTTTTTCAAATTGGCAGTTTTTAAATGAACTGAATGAAGGGCAGCTCCATGTCTAGGCAGGAAGAAACGGCAGACAGTCTGGTTGGAAATGAACTATTACTGGGTGGACCCCAGACCTCTCCTACCGAACAGTGAAAGACACAGAGCTTCTAGGGGTACACGTGGGACTATGGTGATTTTTCCTATTTTCAAATTAGTACATCTTTTTCCTGCTTTGGCAGGCCAATTCTTTACCACTAGTGCTACCTGAGAAGTCCATTGTATCTTTCTCAAGTAAAGAGAACAGCAGTGAATTTTCACATAAGCAAGAGCTTAGAAAGCACTCTATGCATGTTTCCCTCCTGGAGAAACATTTAAAGAGACAAGACAAATGACAGCTCTCCCCTGAAGGTCCAGGGGTTAAGGATCCACCTTCCAGTGCATGGGGTGTGGGTTCAGTCCCTGATCAGGGAGCCAAGACCCCACACGCCCTTTGGCCAGAGAAACCAAATCATAAAACAGAAGCAACATGGGAACAAATTCAATAAAGACTTTATAAATGGTCCAGGTTAAAAAAAATCTTAAAAAGAAAAACCAGAAAGAAAGAAGACAAAGGCCCAAGTGAGGAAACATACAGGAGCACGTGGGGAATTGGGCAGGTGTAGGTGAGAAGAAGAGGAAGAAAAGTCTAAACAGCCAGAGCGATGGGTTCAGTTGGTCACACACAGTCTGATCTTTCCCAGGCAGTGACCCTGGTGAGATTCTGATATTTCATCATTATCAGGTGTACTGAAATGCTAAGCTTTTGGATTGCTGTTGTTCAGTAGCTTTGTGCACATGCCTTATTGGTTCTTTCTCTGGTGAACCCTGACTCACACAGGCTCCCAACATCACTGCATGTGGCTCTCAACATCCACACCTCTGCACACAGAGGAAAGCACTCACAGTCATGTCCAGGGCACTAGAGAACGGCTGGGACCAGCCTGTCTGACGCTGTTTCTGGAGTAAGCTTTACGTATTCAAGGCAGATGTTTATTAAACGGGGTCTCCTTTGTCCCTAGTGAGGCCCCATGTTCCTAGTGTGCAAGCCCGGGGCCTGAACATGTGCCCCTCTCCCCCGCATCACTCACGTCATGCACGGTCTACAGTTGAGCAGGATGCTCTGGACTGGAGGCTGCAGTAGATCTATGGCCACAGGACACCCAGGCAGTGAGGAGCAGGGCGTGGGGAGCCGAGCCTGATGATGTTACTGTCCTGGACGCAGCTCAAGGCCAGGTTTCTAACCCAGCCCAGCCCACTGTCCACAACAAAGGTCTTTCCCAGGGTTTGACCAGATATGCGCTCCAGGCACAGAGATGGCATGACGGTGACTTTATTTGTTAACAGGCAGACCCCTCACCTAGGTCAGGACAAAATCATGACCAACAAGGATGGAGAGCAGGATGCTGGCTGAATCTCAGAGCCTGGAGGGAACCAGGAGCCAGCCCAGGCTGCTAACAGGAAATTCTGGGGCAGAAGGAGACCCCAGACTGGGCTCAAGGCTACAGAAGTTTCAGGTGAAAGTCAGCATTGGCCCTGGAAGGAGTTGGCGATGTGCCCGGTCAGCAACAGGGCTCCGGGGCCAAGGTTGGGAGGCAGCAAGCAGGGCGGGAGCATGCAGGCCGGCAGAGCAGGGACACAGAGGAGGCCGGGCAGCAGCAGCTGGGCTGGCAGGAGGAGGCGGGCACGCAGCCGGTGGGGCGGCACACAGGACGGCAGAGCAGGGACACGGAGGAGGAGGGTCTGCAACTGACCGAGGAGCAGGGGTTGGGCTGGCAGCACAAGGAGGCTGAGCAGGGGGAGGACTCACAGCACACGGGCCTGCAGCAGACAGGAGTGCAGCAGACGGGCTCACAGCACACGGGCCTGCAGCACACGGGCCTGTAGCAGACAGGCCTGCAGCAGACAGGAGTGCAGCAGACAGGCGTGCAGCAGACGGGCCTGCAGCAGACGGGCTCACAGCAGGCCTGCTGGCAGGGGGAGGAGGTGCAGCAGGAGGGCTGGCAGCTAGACTGCTGGCAGCATGAGGCCGGGCAGGAGCTGCTGCAGACTGGCTGGCAGCAGGGGCTGGACTCGCAGCTCACTGGGGCGCAGAGGAGGGTCAGGCGGGGGGCCGGGGTGCAGCAGCTGGGGGCACAGCAAGGGGGCTCGCAGCAGCTCTCTGGACAGTCGTCCACCTGCCAGGAGGAGTCGGTGCAGGAGTCATAGGACCCGGGCAGGCAGACCCGGCTGCTGTAGCTCAAGTCGCTGGAGCAAGCAGACAGGTTGGAGAAGGCCATGGTGGGGTTGTGGGGCCAGAGGAGGGTGAGGATGTGAGTGTGAGTGAGTGTGTGTGTGAGTGCCCAGAGCTCCGCAGCTTTATATGTCTCCTCTGTGTTGTGTGTTGTCTGGCAGCAGCTTGATGAAGTCTTTCCTTCCTTGTTTTTGTTTAGTGTCATGCTCTGTTTTGGCAGCACTGGTCAGTCTCTGTAAATACCTTTGGCTGGTGAGGCTCCTGAGTGGAGGCAGGGATATCCTGCTCATATTTGTCTCCAGAGGAAAGATAATAACAAAGCTTCTGATGCCTTTGCAAGGACAGTAGCAGCCAGGTAACTTTCTGAGAGCAATGGCCCTCTGCTCCAGTGGGGACAGCAGCTGCTCTTGTAAACAAAACTCCTAGTCCCAAGGAAGGGATGAGAGCCAATCCCAGAATCAGGGCTTTGAGAGAAGGGAGGGTATGTTCAGGAGTGGACAGGTCTGGCCATGCCCCACTAGCGTGGCTGCAGGGTGTGAGCTGATAGAGCAGGCTGCACTTTGTGAGCTGATACTGTGGTTGTTAGGGGAGATGAGGGGACCTGGGTCTACTAGGAGTGCACCCTGGGGCAGAAGCGAGGGGCTGTGTCTTCCTGGGGCAGAGACTGGCTCACAGAAAAGGCCTCGGATGCAGATGCAGGCTAGCCCAGAGAGAATGACCACTGGAGCAATTGCCTTTTGCTGCATTGCAGCTGAGCTTTTATAGAAGCTGCACAGAAAAGTCTTAATGCTCACACCTTCCTCCTCTCCTCACAGTCCAGACAATGTCAGGGGCTCCTGCAGCCCTGGGTGCTGATTAGAACAATATCTCCTCCCTCAAGGACCCCTTCCACTGGTAGGAGTTCACAGGATGAGGTCCTGGAGTCTGCATAGTAAAGGTCAGTAGGAGGGCCTGGTTGTCCACGAGTCTTGCGCACAGACACCTGCACAATGCGTCTCCAGAACTCCATCTACAGCTGTGATCTAGTGACCACAACGGCATCTGGCCACGATCCTGTGTGTCCACATTTTTCAGCCACTGTGTTCTTCCAAGTCTCTGAAGGGGCAAGGGCAGGACCTTGGTGACACCCTTGTCTGCAGGTAGCCCCCAGATTCCATAGAAGACTTGTCAGGGGCCAGTGGGTTCCTGAGTTCCAGCCTTCACTGACCTCTGATGAGTAGAGCTGGGGACTCGACTGTAGGACTGCATGGCAGTCAGACCACAATGGAGAAATATTACCTTAAAGAAATATTAGGTTAAAACTGCATAAATGTATTGAACAACTTTAACCTACACATCCAGGAGGTTGAATAAATTCCAAATAAGATACACACATAAGAGTCACAAACAGACACATCCTAGTAAATACACTGAAAGTCAAAAACATGGAGAAAATCTCAAAAGGAAAAGGAGAAAAATGCTGAGTCACTCACAAGGGAATCCCAGTAAGACTTACAGCTGGCTTCCCATCAGAAACAATGGAGACCCGAGTCAATGGGACCACATATTCTCAAATTGCTCAAAGTATAAACTGTCAATCAATAATCCTATATACACTCTCTGACATAAATCACACCAGGATCCTCTATGACCTACCTCCCAGAGTAAAGGAAATAAAGAAATGGGACCTAATTAAACTTAAAAGCTTTTGTACAACAAAGGAAACTATAAGTAAGGTGAAAAGACAGCCTTCAGAATGGGAGAAAATAATAGCAAACAAAGCAACTGACAGAGAATTAATCTCAAAAATATGCAAGCAACTTCTGCAGCTCAATTCCAGAAAAATAAATGACCCAATCAAAAAATGGGCCAAATAACTAAACAGACATTTCTCCAAGGAAGACATACAGATGGCTAACAAACACATGAAAAGATGCTCAACTTCACTCATTATCAGAGAAATGCAAATCAAAACCACAACGAGGTACCATCTCACGACAGTCAGAATGGCTGCTACCCAAAAATCTAAAACCAATAAATGCTGGAGAGGGTGTGGAGAAAAGGGAACCCTCTTATACTGTTGGTGAGAATGCAAACTAGTTTTACAGCTACTATGGAAAACAGTGTGGAGATTCCTTAAAAAACTGGAACTAGAACTGCCATATGACCCAGCAATCCCACTGCTGGGCATACACACCAAGGAAACCAGAATTGAAAGAGACACATGTAACCCAATGTTGATCGCAGCACTGTTTATAATAGCCAGGACATGGAGGCAACCTAGATGTCCATCGGCAGACAAATGGATAAGAAAACTGTGGTACATATACACAATGGAATATTACTCAGACATTAAAAAGAATACATTTGAATCAGTTCTAATGAGGTGGATGAAACTGCAGCCTATTATACAGAGTGAAATAAGTCAGAAAGAAAAACACCAATACAGTATATTAATGCATATATATGGAATTTAGAAAGATGGTAATGATAACCCTATAAGCGGGACAGCGAAGGAGACACAGATGTGTAGAACAGTCTACTGGACTCTGTGGGAGAAGGCGAGGGCGGGATGATGTGGGAGAATAGCATTGAAACATGTATATTATCACACGTGAAACAGATCGCCAGTCCAGGTTGGATGCAGGAGACAGGGTGCTCAGGGCTGGTGCACTGGAATGATCCTGAGGGATGGGATGGGGAGGGAGGTGGGGGGGGGTTCAGGATGGGGAACACATGTACACTCATGGCTGATTCACGTCAATGTATGGCAAAAACCACTACAATATTGTAAAGCAATTAACCTCCGATTAAAATAAATAAATTATAAAAAATAATCCTATATACAACAAGCCATTTTTAATACATGGAGGAAAAATATATTCCCAGATAAAAATACAGAGAATTTGTTATTAGTTGATTCATCTTATAAAACATACTAAAGAAGCCAGTAACCAGACAGAAAATCTAATCCACAGGAGAAAAACAAAAAGCACCAGTAAAGGTAACTATGTAATTACAAGAAAAATACAAATTCATTTTTCTTGTTTATTCTCTTAATTGATTTAGCACAATTTAAAATAATATACATATAAAGCATTGTATAAAACAATATGTATGCAATGTATTGTTAGGCATACAGTTCATAGAAATGTAATATATTTGGCAATATCAGCACAGCCATATTGGGCAAAGGAAATGACAGCAAATGATGACTCAGATCTACAGGAAAAAGTGAAGAGAACCAGAAATGATAAAAAGGTTAGCATAGAACAAGCTTTAAATATATATTGCTTTCCTTTCTTCCCTAATCTTCTTAAAAAATCATAAAAGTATAATAAGTAGTCATTATAACCACATATCATTTGATTTTAACATTTTAAGGTGCAATATTGTAACAGCAAGACCACAGAAAAAATAGGAAGGAATAGAATTATATATAAAATGGAGCAATGTTTTCATACATCACTGGAATTGAGTCAGTATAAATCAGAAGTTGATTCTGATAACTCAAATAAATATATGGTAGGCCCTAGAGCAAATGCTAAGGGAAAATTTTAAAAACAGGGTAAAAAGTCATTAAAGAAATAGAATACTATATTGGAAAATATTAACTAAAAGTAAAAGAAAAACAGTAAAGGAGGATTTGCTGTTGTTGTTTAGTTACAAAGTTGCATCCAACTCTCTTGCAACCCCATGGACTGTAGACCACCAGGCTCCTCTGTCCATGTGATTTTCCAGACAAGAATACTGGAGTTGGTTGCCATTTCCTTCTCCAGGGGATCTTCCTGACCAAGGGGTTGCGCCTGCCTCTCCTGCAGGGACAGGCAGATTCTTTACCACTGAGCCACCTAGGAAACCCAAAGAGGAACTCAACTATGAAAAGACGTGAAGTAAGGAACGAAAAAGTGAAATAGCAGGTGTAAAGCCAACCACAGTTAATGCTTATTATTATGTTGTAGAAAGTCACTACAAACACTGGACCTTTGCTTCTAGGGGAAACAAAGATTTTCCTGTGGGCCTTTGGTCTCATTTTCATCAACTAATCAATACATAATTGTGTGCCTCTGTGTTAGCAGTGAAGACTCAGCACAACCAAATTTTTTTTTGTTTGTTTCTTTAAAAAGTTGTTTTTAAAAAGCTAATTCTATAAAGCTCTTAGAGGAAACTTTGGGATAAATCTTCATGTCCTCAGATCTGGCATTGGATTCTAAGATATGGCTTTAAAAGTATAAGCAATAAAAAAAAATAGGTAAATATGACTTCATCAAAATTAAAACATTTTGTACTTCAAAGGAGACTATCAAGAAAGTGAAAATACAATCCATAGAATGGGGGAAAATATTTGAAAATCCTATAGAGCACAAGGAACTTATATTTAGAATATATAAAGAACTCTCATAAAACAATTTAAAAGGCAAATAATCCAATTAAAAACTAGGCAGAGGACTTGAATAGACATTCCTCCAAAGAAGAGACATAAATGGCTGGTATGCGCATGAAAAAATACACACCATCACTACTCATCAGGGGAATGAAATCAAAGCCACAGTGAGATACTGCTTCACGCCCACAAAGGTCACTAGAATAATGAAGTCAGATACCAACAAGGGTTGGGGAGGATGTGGAGAGCGCAACCTTCATCCAGGGCTGATGGGGATGTCAGATGGTGCAGCGACTTTGGGAGACAGTCTGGTAGTTTCTAAAATGTTAACCCATTGATATAAGAGCCATCAACTCCACTAAGTATATACCCAAGAGAGATGAAAATCCATGCCAATACAAAAACGTGCACGTGAATGTTTATAGTAGCATTATTTATAATATCCAGAAGATAGCAACAAGTCAAATGTCCATCAATGATGGATGGGGTGATCAAAATGTGGTATATCCTCACAGTAATCTACGGTGTGGCCACAAAAACGAGTGAAGCACTGATACACACTATGACACGGGTGAACCTTGGACACATACTACATAAGCCAGTTACAAAGACCATACATTATATGATTCCAGTGCTAGGAAATGTCCAGGCAAATCCAAAGATAATGTAAAGTCAATGGGTTGCTGCCTAGGGCTGGGGGTGGGGAGTGTGGGGTGAAGGGTGGGAGCCAGTGGGCTAAGGGCTTCCTTCTGAGGTAACAGGCATGAGCTACAACAGGCTGTGGTGAGGGTTGTGCGTGGAGGTTGACTGCACCCAACGCCCCGACATGTGCATCTCAGATACCTGAATCACGGCTCAACAAACCTGTTTTTAAAAAGTTACTGAGAATCACAGGAAGTAAAGAGAAGGAGTCAATTTTCTGGGAGACCCGTGGATTGGATCTTGTTCAAGAAAGTAGCTGGCATGACAAAGACTTCTACCTGAGAACTTGACATGACATAAAATAGAAGACAATGGAAATTACAGTACTGAAAATGCAACGGCTGGAGCTGAAAACTCAGCAGATAGGTTTGCAGGTAGATTGTGCGGAATGAAAGCAGAGAGGATGAGCGAGCAGAAGTCCCTGGAGAGTATCAGGATGGAATCACAGTTGACAGAAAACCCACAGCGAGAGTCTTGGTTATGGAAGGAAGGGGCTTTCCAGGTGGGTCAGTGGTAAAGCATCCACTTGCCAATGCAGGAGACACAGAGATGTGGGTTCAGTCCCTAGGTTGGGAAGATCTCTTGGAGGAGGAAATGGCAACCCACTGCAGTATTCTTCCCTGGAAAATTCCATGGGCAGAGGAGCCTGGTGGGCTACGTCCATGGAGTCACAAAGAGCTGGACACAACTGAGGCTGCATGGACACTGCTAAGAGAAGATGGAGGATCCTGACTTGGAACATGAAGGATGGGTTGCATGCCTAGCAAGTGCCTCTCCCGGACCCTGCGGAACCTTCCAGAGTGCTCCCATCCTGGCAGGAGAGGATGGGGATGTTAGCTGGATCTGGGCTGGATGGGACTGCAAATCACAGGTAAGCAGATCCCAGAAGGGTATGTTTTGTTATTTTGTTCACATTTCCTGCCATAGGATGTCAAAGTAAAACCTGCGGCATCATCCCTCGCCTTTGACAGCTAAGCACACCGGAAAGTTACAGCTGCTATACAGACCCCTGGTAATGGTCACGCAGGCTCTGCCTAAACACTCACAGCAATGGGCACCTCAGTACCTACCAAGGCAGGCCACTCTTGACCTCTTGATGGGTGGGTCGTGCCCTCTGCACACTCTGGCACGGGGAACACACAAAGGCACAGGGGTAAAGGCCACAGGCTCTACAGGTAGAGCAGGAGAAGTCACTGACCTTAGGGGGGAGGCTGGGGACTCTCAAGGTCACAACGATGGAAAATTCCTCCGGGAAGAGGTCACATCTGAAGAAAATCCTCGAGGCAGGGAAGCTCAGGGCATGGGGCGCGGCAGCTGAGAGCTGGAGTCCTCGTGCGCCTTGGACCTGCATCACCCTGACCCCAACTGCAGAGCCATCGGGAGGGACCGCCTCTGCCAGCACATCCAGGGGCCGCAGGTCTGTGTCAAGGAAATCACAGTGGGTTACAGGGTGCCCGGGTGTGACTTCAGCATCTTCACAAGAGCTCTGCAAGCTGGCTGTCACAACTTCCCTCTAACCAGTGAGCAGACGGAGAGCTTACAACCCAATGGGTCTGCCGTGACCTCTCCTCCCCACGCCTCCACCCTGTCTTCCGACTGACAGGTGCTGTGCTGGGCCTGCTGGAGGTCCAGGAAGGCCTTGCCTAGCCCCAGGTGCCCAGGAGACAGGTTCCCACGTGGGAAGCATCCGGGTCTGGACGCGGCAGGTACCGCATCTGTGTCCCGCAGAGTCGTCTGTAAGGTTCCCTGTGCTGCTGGAGGGTGGGCACCTGACAAGACCTGGACTCACCCCGGCCCGGGCACTGCCTCCTCCACACGCTGCAGAGGAGCAGGCAGGCTCCTGTTCTGAAGTTCAAGGTCATCAGACAAAACACACCCAAGGCCAGATGGTAGGAAAGGACAGTGGGAAGCTGGGTGAGCATCTGTGACTAGTGGCGGGGGTCGTGTCAACCCCACCACCCCCTGGCCCCACAGTGGGAGAGAAGGACTGGCTCGGAGCAGAGCCCACGGCTGCCCCTTGGACCCTTCCAGACTTGGCCACCATGTGTCACGCCATGGCTGGGATAAGCGACAGGCATGTGCGAATGAAAAGTCACACCCCAGAGCTGTCTCCCTAGGGCCCTGGCAGTCCTGCTAGGAGGCCTGAACCTGAATGGAGCTGGCGGTCAGGGCACTATGGGGATGGGTCAGCAAAGTCAGCAGGGCTGAGGCCGTGAGAGCAAAGGACGCCCCAGTGCACTCCCACCGCACTCAGGCCCAGCCCCACCCACCCCAAGGCTGCTCTGCTCTGCCCCAGAGGGTGACCAGAAGGGGCTTTGTGGAGGCTCCCAGTGGCGGGGTGTCACAAACGGGGAGGATGAAGCAGAAGACAAGGAGTGTGTTTTCTCCATTAAATTAAGGGGATTTAGGAAGGGAAAGGTCTCTCCAAACCAGCTAAGAGGAAAAACACTGAGTCCAAAGAAGAGAGGAGTGAAGTGAAAGTTGCTTAATTGTGTCTGCCTTTTTGGAACCCCATGGGCTATACAGTCCATGGAATTCTCCAGGCCAGAATATTGGAGTGGGTAGCCTTTCCCTTCTCCAGGGGATCTTCCCAATTCAGGGACCAAACACAGGTCTCCCGCATTGCAGGTGGATTCTTTACCAGCTGAGCCACAAGGGAAGCCCAGGAATGCTGGAGTGGGTAGCCTATCCCTTCTCCAGCGGAACTTCCCGACCCAGGAATTGAACCGGGGTCTCCTGCACTGCAGGTGATAGCCACTCAAAGTCAGAGCGCAAAACGTGGAAGGTCAGCGGTGAGAGGGACCAGAGCAGACCAGGGTGGGCGGGGGGAGGGGCGAGGTCCAGAGAACAGAGAGAGTCTACCCAGAAGGCAGGAAATTCTTACGGGGAAAGTGGGTGGCCTCAACAAGCAAGGAACTTAGGCTCTTCAAACCAGATCACACTGTCCCACCCCCAGTGCTCAACAAGTTTCAGAGTTAAGGGCCATCAAGCCTGGGGCACAGCCAGGGATGCTGACGTCCTCCTGGAGAGGGCCAAGGGGCATCCTCGTGTGTCTGGAGGCGCCCACCGGCTGTGGACATACCCGAGGGTGCAGGGACTGAGGGCAGGCTTGACACCGACTTTAGGCTCACGCCAGCTGGGCAGCAGTGCTGGGGACCCAGGGATGTGGTGGCCTGAGCAGGGTCTGGGAGGACAGACAGGCGAGACCCTTTGGAGGATGTGGTGAGAGAGGGATGGATGCTGCTCTGTGATGGGAGGGCAGGTCACAATTGTCATTTCCACCACTGAACATGAGAAGCGGCACATGGTGGGGGCCTTCGCTTTGGAAAGCACACCTGCTGCAAACTCCACTACTCATGGATTGGGCTCTGATGTACCTGAACGTCAAGGGCAGGAGCATTAGCTGTATGTGTCGGGGGCAGGGCTCTCAGACAGATGCCACGGTCGGAGGTGGAGGGGAGTCTGTTTCGGGAGCCGGATTCTGACCCCAGGCTTGGGTTGCCCAGGTGAGGGGTGAGGTTGTACCTGGGAAGGGCCCCTGAAGAGCCTGGGGCTGTAAATGAACACTGCTCACCCTAAATTCACCCCCAAAATGAGAAACACAGGGTACACGGGCCTTGCCTGGCAGTGGGCCCACTGTCAAGGTTTTAGCTATGGCCCCACAGAGATCCAGCCCCTCCTTCAAGAAATATGTGTCCTCCACCAGGCAGGCTCCCTAGCTGTGGGGCAAGACTTGACCTGGCCAAGCCCCAGGCACAGCAACTAGGAAGATCTGGATTCCACTAATCCCAGCTCAAGCCTCTCCCTCCATTGTTAACTGAGACAGCCTCTTCCTGGTACCCTGCCCCCCCACCACTCCACTACCCACCGTGCAGCCCAAGCAGCCTCCATACCCCCACCCTGCCGAGAGTTCTGCAGGTTAAAGAGATGGTGTGTTGTCTTCCTGGGGAAGTCCCGCTGATGCAGGAACCACTGAGTGACTGATTTCATAAAGGTCAGGGTTCACAAAGGACATTTGCAGTGATGGAGTCCAGCAAGATAACTCTAATAGATGTGGCACGGTCACCAGCACCTCCTGGGAGGCTGGACACACAGATGGACAATGGGCAAGCCATAGACACACGGCCAAGAGAGGTCTGCCCTACAACCTCTGCAGTGACCAGCCTGGAAGCCGGCCCACAACCTTTGCACTGTTGCCCAGAATGTGGTCAGTGACCATCAGCTTCCCTAACATTTGTCCCCAAGTCCAGTTCAGGGCCACACGGAGAAAATCAGACCTGCTCCTTGACCGGGGTACATGGGCACAGCTTCTGATCCACCCCACTTCGCACATCAACAGCCTCCATCAGACCACACCCGGGCCTTTCTGGCCACTCCAGGCTGTGCCTGAGCCTCTGCCAAACCCAGGTGACGGTGGCAGACCGCCTACTGGAGCCAGCGTGGAATAGACTGGCTTGTTCTCCTTTGGGTCTTATTCTCATTCGGGTGGTCTTCATCTATTCCACAAAACCTTCTTGAAATGCCAGTTTCCAAAATAAACAGTTGTCCCCTGGTGCTCATAATTTAGCAAAGAGGATGTAGCAGCCGCAGAGATAAACTCAAGGCTGGCTACACATAGGTCCTAACCCCGACCTCAGCCTCGTAAGACCTGGCCCACGATTGACTAGCTGCACCTTCTGAGGCTCAATTGCCTCATCTGTAAGATGGGAGGGTGGTGACCGGCCCTGTCGGTTACTCAGCGCATCTGAAGAGCTGAGCAACCTGGGGCTGGAGGAGCTGATCACAGCAACAGACAAGGCAGAAAGCAAAACCCTATCTTCCCCTGGAAGGGAGCCCACTGGAGCCGGGCCAGGGACCCTGGGACAAAAGCCTCCTGAAGAATGAGCCCCGGGGCAGGAGAGGGAGCAGAAGGAAGGGCAAGAGTGTGGAAGTGTCTTCACAGGAGGCCTGAGAGGAGGCCCGGGGCTGGGGATGCAGAGCTCCCCCCAGAACGGCAGTGCCTGGCTGTGTCCCGAACCTGGGCAGGGCAGCATCCTGGGGAGGCCTGTGGGGAGGCCTGAGGTTGGCTGAGAGAGTATGCAAAGCGTTTCTGGCCAGAAGCATGGCTCCTCATGCCCGAGAATAATCCCTTACGGAGGCCTCCTGTACGGGGACCGGGGACTGTGAAGACTGAGGTTATTCGTTGGGTGGGGGGTGGCGAGGAACAACTGCCTTTGTTGGATGCCCAGGTGTGAGCCACAGGCCAGCTTCAGATGGTCTCTGAGATGGCCCCTCCATTAGAGGTGGGAAGGGAGGGAGAACAGACAGCCAATGAGGTCTTCTTCACTCTGGATTTCATTGAGTTCCCTGGGAGCTCAGGGACTAGGAGCAAGTTCATTGCCAACAATTAGGGGTCCCTGCAGGGCAGTGAGACTGACCACACTGCCCGAGCAACAGAGAGTCCAGTGTGGGCCCAAGGAGAGGCAGATGGACCAGTGATGGGGTGAGCTGAGAGCTCAGACACCCCCAGGCAAGATGACAGCAGTTCAGGCACCGTGGAGGTATATTAGTATGGAGGGATGGTTGACCTGTGGGTGGTGATGGGAAAGTTGGGGTTCAGCAGAGAGAAAAACCCAGGCCCATTCCTCTCTGAACAGGACACACAGAGTCAGCTCCAGGCAGGGTGGGAAGTGGGACCTCCAAGTTAGAGGGAGAGGTTGGGGGCTGTCTTTGTGATCTGGGGTTAAGGAAGTTTTCTCAACACTAGATACAAACCATCAGAAGGAAGCTGGATCATCTGCTCACATCAAAACAAGAATTTCTGCCCAAGAAAGGTCACAGTGGGCCATGTTGTATTCACAGAACAGAGCCCGGGCGGGATTTAAAACTGACAAGGAGTTAACACACAGCAGGAGCAAGACACCCAGGACACCAGCAAGGAAAACATGAGAACAGTCGTTGCCCCGAAGGCAGGCAACCTGAGAAAGAAACAGCCCAAACAGCCTGATCAGTCAGACAAAAGCAAACTAAAGAGTGACAAGGTATCATTTTCCCCTGTTACACTGGTTAAAAAAGGAAACAGGAAAAAATATACAGATGGAGCCCAGAAACAACCTACGCATCCATCGATAGGTGAGCAGAAGAATGTGTGGTACATATACACAATGGAATATTACTCAGCCATAAAAAAGAATGAATTAATGCCATTTGCAGCAACATGGATGAAACTAGAGAGTATTATACTAGGAGGAGAAAATCACACAAAGACAATACCATATGATGTCACTTATATGTGGAACCTAATGTATAACACAAATGAACTTATCTGCAAAATAGAAACAGACTTAGACACACAGAGAAGTGGGGTGGGGGAGGGAAGGATTGGGAGTTGGGGATTGGGATGGATAAACAACAAGGTATCACTGCAGAGCACAGGTAATCATATTCAGTATCCTATCATAAAGGATAATGAAGAAGAATATAAAAGAGAAGACATATGTATATATATAGTATAACGGAATCGCTTCACTGTACAGAAGAAATTAACAATATTGTAAATCAGCCACATTTCAACTTAAATAAAAGATGGAGCACAAAAGGGGAAATCGTTCCTGTCCCTGTTCTGTGTTTAAATTGGCTTTTCCTCACTTATTTAAAAGGCGCTGAAGGGATGTGGAGGGAGGCAGGGCTGGGCTGCTGGGCTTCGATGGGATGGCTGTCTCGGCTTGAGCCTGGTGTGTCCCTGGGACATCCACAGCCTGGAAAGCCACAGCTGCGTGGTGACTGGGCCACGGAAGCTACAGGGGAGGTCAAGAGAGCAGGACGCCAGTAATGAATGACCAGCAGGCGTGAAGAGACCCCGGGGTCAGCTCGGGCTAAGCCCTTCTCTTGCATCCACACTTTTAAACTTAGACACATCCCCTCCCTCGTCACCCTCCAAGGTCTGCGTTAGCCCCGGAGCTAAGGGCTCTCAGAATGCGGGAAGTTGTCCAGAGGGCCCATCAGAGGGTACAGTGATGACCATGGTCTTGGTGCAAGCTCTCCTGCAACCTGACCTCTCAGAGGCCTGGACCCCTTTCCTGTGGGGTTGCGGGAGGGATTGGAACATCGTCAGGCAGGCAGGAGCTGCCCCCCGAGTCAGACTGCCTCCCAGTGATGGGCAGATGGACCGCCCACCCCGCAAGGCCGGTGCAGTCAGTCCTGTGCTAGGCCACTTTGTAGGTCCCACTTTAACATTCCTGTGAATTTGAGAGAGGCTCTGTGTCTGCCTATGAAAGGACAGCTGCTGGGGCTGCAAGCAGGTCCCCTAAGAGCCACGTGGCTGGCAAGCAGCTGACTTCAGTTCACGTCGTGTAAACATGTAATAGGGCTTCCAGGATCCCTCAGGCAGCTGACACAGGGAAGTCCGCACACGGAGTGGAACCAGGCCAAACCTGAACCTTCTGTTCTCACCCTTCTCGGATGTTCTCTATAGGGTCCAGCAACTGCCTGACCTCAGCAGGCACCTGGATATTCAGGAGACAAAGACAGCACGCGCATCACGCAGGCAGCGGGGCTGGCACGCAGACAAGGGGGTTGGGACAGGATGCTCAGCTGCCCGCAGGGTCCCACCCACAGAAGGCACCACCAGTGGTCCAATGAACCTCCTCCCCGTCTTCTCCTGCCAGGAGCAGAGGTGGGTGAGGCCAGGATGGAGGGGCAGCACCTGCCCCAGGGACCTTTGCAATAGAAACACCGCTCACTCCTGCAGGGTGCGATTATCCCGTGATCCAGCCAGCTTTTCATGTTCCCTTTTCGCATGTCCTCCTGGTGAGTGAAAACATGACAGTGATGAATGGGGCTGCAGTGGCTTCGGGCTGCAGGAGGTGGAAGTCCAAACACTCAGCAGCCAGAGGCTCGGCTGCTTCCAAATCCTGTGCGTGCGAGTGCCCTGACGCTATTATCCTGAAAACTCGTGCAATGATGGAATCAGAGTGAAAAGAGCCGTGGAGACCAGACCATTCCAAGTCTCCAGTTACAGACCAGGATGGCCAGCACAGAGAGGCGTGTGGATGCAGCTGAAGGAGAGGAAGGTCTGTGGTCCCAGGGCTTCCAGGAGGAAAGGAAGATGGTATCAAGTCAACCATAGAGGCTTCGCTTGAAGAAACTTAAACTAAAAGGGCAAACGGAACCCACCATGAGCAGAAGGATGGAAATCAGTGTGACTGAAACAAAAGGAAAATTCACCGAAACCAAAGCTGGGTCTTCGAGAAGATCAATAAAATTGATAAACTTCTACCAGACTGATGGGGGCGGGGGTGGAATAAGAAGAAACGATGTATCAATGTCAAAAAAGGAAAAATGAGATATCATTGAACATTTTTCAAAAGCTAATAGGAAAGAGACTCACAGACATAGAGAACAGATTTGTGGTTGCCAAGGGGAGGGGTGAGGGGAAGGGACAGAGTGGGAGCTTGGGATTAACAGATGCAAACTATTATCTCTAGGGTGGATAAACAGCAAGGTGTCACTATGGAGCACAGGCAACTATATTCAACATCCTGTGATTAAACCACAATGGAAAAGAATTTGAAAATGAATATATAAATATATATGTATAACTGAATCACTTTGGAGTACAGCAGAAGTTAATATAAGATTGTAAGTCGGTTATACTTCAATAAAATGAGATTTTAAAAGGAGGAATTAAAAGGATAATGAAGAGACTCGACAAACAGCATTATGCCTGCATATCTGAATCTTAGATGAAATGGACCAGTCCGTTGATAGGCAGAGACTGTAACTGAGTAGGACCCTTCCTGGGACAGGCCCTCCCTCCACATCCTCCACCTGCCTCTTGTTCATAGAAAAACTTCTCATACTGTTCGTGGGGTTCTTGTGGCAAGAATACTGGAACAGTTTGCCATTTCCTTCTCTAGTGGACCACGTTTTGTCAGAACTCTTCTGACGAATGACTCTTCTGTCTTGGGTGGCCCGACATAGCATGGCTCATAGTTTCATTGAGTTACCCAAGCCCCATTGCCACAACAAGGCTGTGATCCATGAAGGGCTAGTGAATAGTGATGTCTCAATGCTGGTTTCAAAGACTTGGTAGCTGATCTACACTTCCATGTGATGTTAACACCAGAGAAAGCTGGAGAGGGGCATACGTGACTTCTTTGTGTTCCTTGTGTGGTTATTCCATAAAATAAACTAAAAAAATCACCCCACAAGCTCAGATCATGCCTGGACCAGCAGAAGGCCTATGTGTGCTCTGAACCTGTCAGGCCATCTGCTGCCTGCATCCCGCCCTTCACGAATGTCCCCAAGGAAGGAGAAAGGACGCCTGCTCGACTTCTTCCACCCAGAGCCTGGCCTTGCATCAGCCTCAGGGCAGGGACAGCACTTACCAGGGGCTGGTTGTGTCCCGAGAAGATGCTGCTGCCCCAGCCCCAGTACCTGTGAGTTTGACCTTATTTGGAAATAGGGTCTTTGCAGATTAATCAAGGTACGATGAGGTCTTCCGGGTGTCTCTTAATCCCACCTGACTCGTGTTCTCATTGAAAGGGGAAGTTTGGACGCAGATATGTGCCCGTGTGGAAAATGCCTTGTGATGATGGAAGCAGAGACTGGAGTGATGCTTCTACAAGTGATGGAACCCCAAGAATTGCCAGAAAAGTCACAGAATCCAGGGGAGAGCTAAGAGACCCTGGGACAGCTTGTCCCCCAGAGCCTCAGACGGCGTTAACCTCCAACGTCTGATGTTCAGACTAAGACCCATTCTTGTTGTGTGAGCCGGCCAGTCTGTGGGTCTGTCACTGCTGCCTTGAACGCTGGGCCAGGGCTGCCTGCTGACCAGGGCTCACATTATCTTTATTTAGAACCAAACACACCTCCTCTCTGACCTTCCAGCCACACAACATTGTTCAGCCAGACCGGAAACCCCAGGAGTGCTCACCCTGACCAGGCCAGGACCCAGCGCCCACAGACACGGGTCCACCTCTGCTCCTAGTGACACTGGTGAAAGCAACAAGATAGCTTACACTCCACCCAGGGTTGCTTTCTAGGCCAAAAACAAGTAAAGACGTTCAAAGCTGACTTCAAGAGAGAGCTGAGCTCCTGGGACAGAAACAGTCGCCACTTGTTCTCTGAATCTGCTCTCAACAGCGACCAGGAGAGAGGGTGTAGAACCTCCCCCAGGACAATACACACACCAGGAGGGGAAACAAAAACCAGCGACCCGGACACTTCACACACTCACTCACGCACACACTCACATCCTCACCTTCCTCCAGCCCCTCCACCACCACGGCTGCCTCCACCTTGCTACGGCAGCCGGGTCTGCCTGCCCGGGTCCTGTGACTCCTGCACCGGCTCCTCCTGATGGACGGAGGAGGACAACTGTCCAGAGAGCTGCTGCGAGGCCCCCTGCTGCGCCCCCAGCTGCTGCGCCCCGGGCCCCCGCCTGACCCTCCTCTGTGCCCCAGTGAGCTGTGAGTCTAGCTCCTGCTGCCAACTAGCCTGTAGCTACTCCTGCCTGGCCTCATGTGGCCAGCAGTCTTGCTGCCAGCCCTCCTGCTGCACCTCCTCCCCCTGCCAGCAGGCCTGCTGCAGACCCATCTGCTGCAGACCCATCTGCTGCTGGCCCATCTGCTGCTGGCCCATCTGCTACACAGGGAAGATCCCCTGGAGGAGGAAATGGCACCCCACTCCAGTATTCTTGCCTGAAAAGTCCCATGGACAGAGGAGCCTGGTGAGCTGCAGTCCATGAGGTCACAAAGAGACACAACTGAGTGACTGAGCATAAACTGTTGCACACCAGTCTGCTACAAGCCTGTTAAACACCTGTTTGTTACACATCTGTCTGCACACACCTGTCACACGCCTGTATGCTGCAAGCCTGTCTGCCTTTCAGTCATACTACCTGGAGATTTCTCTTTAATGCTAATTTTAAGTTGGTCTCTTGGTGTGGAATTTGCTCAGTTTTTGTCTGGCATCATTTTGTTTCACCTTCACCTTTGATGGTGCTCTTACAGGTTTGCAGTTATTTTCTTTCAGCCCCTTAAAGATGCCCTCTCACTGCCTCCTAACTTTCCTCTTTTCTGATGGGGAAACTACTATAAATCTTCTGTTGCAACTGTGAAGTTAATGTTTATTTTTCCTCTGATTGTTTTCAACAATTTGTCTTTATCTTTGACTTTCATCAGCTTCATTATGATGCGCTTAGGTGTGGCTTCGTTAATATTTAGTTCTCTTAAGGTTTATATTATTGCTTGAATTTGTAGCTTGAATCTTTGTTTTAGAAAAATATTTACCATGATCTCTTCAAATATCCTCCATTATATCTCTTGCTTTCATTTTGGGCTCCAAGGAGGAAAAAAAAAGTGAAATTGCTTCACCACGTTCTCCCATATTTATTCAGTTACCTTCCCTCCTTTTTACGCTCTAACCTCATCCTAAATGGTTCATAGCTTCTATCAGTAATCCACCCTCTGGCTGTCTCTTCTACTATTAAATCCACCTATCAAGTCATAAATACTGTTATTACATTTTTGCAATTATTTGAGTCCAGAATTTCTACTTACTTCTTTTATACATATTTCAGTTTTAGATAAAACTGTCCATCCTTAGATCTGTTTTCTTAAGCATATTCATCCCAATTACTTTAAAATGCTGTGTCTGACAGCTCTGATGCTGTGTCATCGATGGGTTTGTTCCTACTGTCTGTTTTATCTCTTGGTGCTATTCCTTGGCATGACTCTCGTCCTTGATTGAATGTCTGAGGTTGTATATGCAAACTCCTAGCAGCCCTGAAGGTTTCTCTTCTCCTGAAGAGATTCACCGCACCCTGGGCAGATGGCTTGGGTGTGGCAGAGGACTGTTATTGTCGTGAGGCTGGGGGGCAGACTCTGTAAGCGCTGGTCTGTGTCCGGTTTTCCCCACTCCCAGGACTGAGCTCTCTGGGGTCCTGGCTGAGAACTGTTCCTTTTTGGCTAGTCTTAACTCTGGGTTTTGTCTCCTTGGTAGAGACTGCAAAAACTCTGCTCGGCTTTCTGTGACTTTCTAATGACCTTCTAAGTATCTTCCCTGCACAGTGTGAAACTCGGCAGGTGCCTTGAGGGTTGAATTTACATTTCCAGAGATCTACCTCCCATTTGTCTGGGATCTTGTCCCCTTGAGTCCTTGCTGCCTCCATGTTCACAAACCCCATGTAATTTTCTCCAGCCCCCTGAGATCTCGGGAGCTCTGCTGGCTTCTCTTCATTGTAGTTGCAGCCTTTGGCCATGTTTCTCCTCTGTGCACCCAATGCCAAGACTCGTCAGCCACATTTCAGGGAAAAGCCATCAGGAAAAGCTGGCTCACCTCTGTATAGTTCCCTAACATTCAACAAGTTTGCCTCTCAATTCTTAGTTTCAGCAGCAGCCCTCCAAAGCTTTGAACAGACGTTTGAGTTTTATCCAGCTTTTCAAGTTCTCCTCGGCAGGAGTGTATCCAGCACTGGCTCCTTATCACAGATGGAAACAGACATCTCTCCTTCTCTCTTCCTCTCTGTGTGTGTCGTCTGTTTCTTTCTCTATCTCATGCATTCCCAGTCTATAAGATGAGTTCCTGGATTTCCAGAGAGGCCAGGAACCTGAGCACAAGAGGCCAGGTTCAAATGTATTTTATTTGTATAACTCAAAATATGCAGACAGACAACTCAGCCCACAATTTGACTGAAATCCTAGACCCCTCTCTTGCCTTTCATAGACTTCCAAGGAGTCATGAGGCCTGGACTGAGCCCCTTTGTTAGAAGCACAGAACAGCCAGGAAGGGTGAGAATTTGAGCACCCAGAGTTGGCAGAAGCATCAGTGCCCCCCAGAGTCCTCCCACAGGAGTGAGGTGTCAGTCCTCCAGGCCAATGCACACCATACTGCGCTGGACCTGGTAGTCACAGCATCACAGGGCACCAAGAACTTGATTTTCCTAGGCTGCAGCTCAGGGCTCGGCTTGTTCGTCTTTGCATTTCTGAGCCTGCCGCACAGATAGGCAGGTCCCCAGGTGTGCACACAGCAGTCCCAGGCATCAGTCAGGGAAGATGGAGTTAGGCTAGATGGATCTCTCATGCAGCCAGTGCAGACCCCTGACACATTACTGCAGACATACTCCCTTCCTACCTTGATATTATGTTCTGTCATAAATGTCATAAAAGTTATGACCAACCTAGACAGCATATTAAAAAGCAGAGACATTACTTTGCCAACAAAGGTCTGTCTAGTCAAAGCTATGGTTTTTCCAGTAGTCATGTATGGATGTGAGAGTTGGAACATAAAGAAAGCTGAGTGCCAAAGAACTGATGCTTTTGAACTGTGGTGTTGGAG